GTAGTCAAATTTATTTGTCTTTTCTTTTCCATTTTATTAAATTTGGATCACTTGTTGTTCCTGCATGATGCACTGAAAAAAAATCCATCCTGTCCCTACTGCTCTGCAGTGCCACCTCTGTCATGTAGCAAATGTCAATATGTATGAATCTATTTCTAAGCTTTGTTCAATCCCGTTATTTCCTGTTCTATATCTAATCTTCTGTTTAACTTGACCATTTAATTTGTTTTTATGACAGGGAATACTTTATTCAAACCTATCAGAGAAATGGACAGGTTGAGTCTATAACAAAGTGTCGTATTTTAAAGCATAGGCCAATACTTGTATATGAAGGTATACACTGCTACATACAAATTAACTGATTGAATTAACTGAGCAACTTTTCAATGTTTAAAACAAAATAAGCTTCCCTGTAAAAGCAGCACCTTTGTGATATTTTAACCTTAGTATTCCTCTCCTTCAACAGAATCCACACCAACCTTTTTATAATCCTCTCAAGGGCAGCCATGTCCTCATGGACTCAGAAAACTTCTCTTTCCTCCGTGCCCTCACCCACATACCAGAGAACAAAGGCATACTTGGCATTCATCAGGTCAAATTTGTGGTCCAGATGAGCCCAGGCCTCAGCAATAGCTGTGGTGTTGCTCAGCACGCACACAGCTCATTGTACTTTGGCTGGGTCTCCACCAGGTACCACAGTGGGAGGCTGGTAATTAATGCCAGCTTTGAAGCCAGTGGGGCACCAGTCCACAAACTGGATGCTGTGCTTAGTCTTCATGGTGGCAATGGCAGCATTGACATCTTTGGGAACCACGTCGCCAAGGTACAACAGGCAGCAAGCCCTGTATTTACTATGGCCAGGGCCACATTTCACTATCTGGTCGATTGGTTCAAAGCATGCATTGGTGAGCTCTGCTACAGAAAGCTGTTCATGGTAGGCTTTCTCAGCGGAGATGACAGGGGCATATGTGGCCAGAGGTAATTGGATGTGGGGATAGGGCATCAGATTGGTCTGGAATTCTGTCAGATCAAAATTCAGGGCTCCACCACATCTGAGGGAAGCAGTGATGACAATACAAATTGACCTTTCAACCTCTTCAGGTCAGTATAGATTGGGCACTCAATATCAAGGTTTTTATGACAGATGTTGTAGATGGCCTCATTGTCAACCATGAAGACATAATCAGAGTGCTCCAGAGTGGTGTGGGTGATGAGGATGGAGGATGGAGGGCCCAACTGTGGAAACAGTTGTAGAAACGTGAGGGGGTGAGTAAATAGAGAACTCCAGCTTGAACTTGCCATAATTGACACAGAGACAGATGCTTCATCATCAGTCTGGGGTCAGTGAACTCAGAACCAGTTCCCCCACCAAAGCCATGGAAAACCAAAAAACCCCTAAAGACCTGTGCACTGGTCAGCCAGTTTCTAAATTTGGTCCAAGACAAGGGCAATGATCTCCTTGCCAATGATGCAGTGCCCGCAAACATAGTTATTGGCAGCATCTTCCTTGCCTGTGATGAGCTGCTCAGGGTGGATGTCACTTGGTACGTGGCCATCGGCTGGATGCCATATTCCAGGCAGTAGCATTCCCAGCAGGCATTGCTGGTCTGGATACCAACCTGGCCAGGGTGGATGGAGATGTACCCATGCATGGTTGCTGCTTTGTGGCTGCTGAATGAATGGCTGAGAGAAAGAGGAGAGGTTGTTTCTTTTTATAGCAGAACTCTTAGGTGGTCGATGTAAGAGAACCGTTTAATTTTTAATTTGATTAAAAATATATATCTAGATGCTCTAGATGTTTCTTTTTCAAATTGTCATTCATGGTCACTATTTTGTTTTGTTTTGTTTTGTTTTGTTTTAGGTGAGGCAACCCTTGGTTGACCTCACAGATGGCAAGGACCTTGTCAGCTTACAATCTCTTATTTTTAATTTTTTACGCCTACAGCACCTGGTCTTCCATCCAAGTACTAACCAGGCCCAACTCTGCTTAGCTTCTGAGATCAGACTGGATCTGGCTTGTTCAGGGTAGCATGGCCATAGACCATTCATGGTCACTTTTATGGTCTCTCGTTTCTTCAAACTTATCGAAATTGTTTCAAAACTGTCTGAACTGTAAATTACTCATTGTGTAATTTATTCTACAGATAGACTTGTACACGTGCCAAATAATAGATGAACGTTTTTTATTCCAACATTATGTATAAGAATAGCAAAAGATTGGAAACACCTTAAATGTTCTCAATCGAAGACTGGTTAAATAAACTATTGTACAGCTACACAAAAGAGATTCAAATGCAGAAGAAAGATGAAAGAAAGGGAGGGAGGGAGAGTGAGAGAGAGCGAGAGAGAGCGAGAGAGAGAGCGAGAGCGAGAGAGCGAGAGAGCGAGAGAGCGAGAGAGCGAGAGCGAGAGCGAGAGCGAGAGCGAGAGCGAGAGAGAGAGCGAGAGAGAGAGAGAGAGAGGATGTTTTAAAGAACTGATGTAAATATAGGTTCCAAAAAGCAAGATGCCCAGTCTGCTACATTTTGGGTAAAACAAGTGGACAATAGGAACCTATAAAATCCAAATGCAGGTTCCTATTGTCCGCGACATTAATATAGAAAAATCTATAGCTGTCATATCTACCATTGCCACTTCTGTAAAGAAACCCGGTCTCCAGTAGCCTTGGGGAAAGTTGTGTGTGTGGGGAGGAGGAGGGGGGAACCTTAGGAGTCTTTTGTGGTCTTAGTGTGTTCGGAGATATTTGGGGGCCTCCAGTTGCCTTAGGGGTGTCTGGGTATATTTGAGGGGCCACGGTGCCTCTGGTGGCATCTGGGGATGTTTGAGGCCCATGGAGACCCTCGGCTTGGGTGTCCTTGACATGACGGGCGCTGACGATATCTTTTCCCCATTGCATCTTCCTGCAGGACCCGCGCGGCCTGGGCACAGCCTCATTGCCCATGGGCGAAGCTGGAGCTTCCCGCCGCTTTCGGCGGGCAGCGACCCAGGGCGAGACGGCGGG